TTATTTTATTGGCTAAAACTAGGTGGAATTTCAAGTCTCAGCCTCTGCAGAATGTCAGTGATTTCTTAAGTTTAGTCTTAATTTTGAAGCTTGCAGCTCTTAAAAAGATTGCGGGTCTCCGATTTGCATATACGTATGTTGCCAATTTCTATAGCGATGCAAACATTAGTTGCAACACTTATTTGATCTAAGCTGGAATTTTGTTTCAACCATAATGGTTGATGGTAATTCAACTCAAAGTCAGAATGGAGTTTTCCCTATCTTCAGCAGGTATTTTTCTGTGACCAGTATTGGAATAATTTAAAAGTTTCTCGACAAGTTCCAAATAATTGTTAGTTTCAAGTGCCTTAATATGCTTAGGATGTGCTTTGGGGATTTGTGCAATCTTGGGGGTTTGTGCAATCTTTCTGGGAGGTGGGGGAGGGGAGAAGGAGAGAGACCACAGATAACTATGATATTAGGATCTCCAAATTGTACATTGAATTACTGCTGGCATCAAACTACCTTAAAGATGATCAATCACCTTTCCACTCATGGTTTCCCCAGCTAAGACCACAGCAACCATTAGGTAGGATCTGACTCCTCTAAGTGGCACAATTTCATCGCTGAATAACTCATTGAGCTGTCACTGTGTTCAATGAAAAAGATCCCACAGAAAAACTAAGAGTATCTCTTGAGTTATTCCTGTTGGAAGATCTTATCACCCTCCAACATGATACAAAAAAGAAACAAATCGCAGTGTGAAATCTGAAACTATTTCTTCCCCCATCAATATATTCAAATACTTTGATAGGATCACATTTATCATTGACTGCATAAAACCAAAGTGGTGAGAGTTGCAGCTTGCCTACAGATTTTAACTCACAGCTAAACAGTCCCACCATCTCGATGGCTCAAACATTAGCATTTTAGTCTATAACAGCCTTTTAAAGATACTGCTTCAGGACATTTGAAGATGGCGTTTGAAGGACGAACAGATGGTATTAATAATATATTAGGAAGTGTTCAGAGAAGAACGACAAGGATGTTTCTGGAGATTAAAACTCAAAATTATAGAATGAGAATGATGGACCTTGTTTTCATTAAAGAAGATTGAAAGGAGATGTGACACAGTCCTTCAACAAGCTGAAAGTTATGGCCGATGTAGATATAAACCCAGTCACTGAACCAGACAGAAGCGAAGTAGAGACTACAAATGTAAGTTGAGGAGAAAACAGATTTGTGATTGGCAAAGAATATGAACAAAAGACCAAACAACAGGAAAAGTGCCCAAACAGAGGCTAGTGAACAGGAAGAAACTTGTATTTTCCTAGCATCTTACCTTAGTGAAACATTTAAAAGAATTTTACAATAATAATTATCAAATGCTGACTGTTTGACTTTCTGACTGTTTTTTTAGGGACAGCAAAGTCCTATAAACAGCCATAATGAGCTGGTGGAGCAGCATATAAGAGAATGATTGACAAGAACACCAGGAAAAACTTGTTTTTCTTTTCAAATAATGCAATGGATCTTTATTGTCCACCTGAGGAATAGGCAGATGGAGACAGTTAGGACTGCCAACCTTCGAACGAGACAATAAACCATGCAGCACTGCATGTGTTTTCTGCATTCAGAAATTTCCCCAAAGTACCAAGTACATTGAGCCAACAGAACCGTAACACTGTGAATCCACACGCACATTGCATGTTTCATAAACAGCAATCGTCACTAAGAATGCCACTGGCTTCAACAATACTGAGCTATTCAGAGCTCTTCAAAAAATAATAAGGATCTCTATCCAAAAATAACTTGGTCATGACCAAATGTACGACAGGACACTATAAGAACAAGAACCAGTGCTACCCAAGGTCTTCAACCATTAATAATAATAATAATAATAATCCTTGCATTTGATATAGCGCTTTTCACGTCGGGAGGACGTCCCAAAGCGCTTCACAGAACACACTGCAAAGTGAATTGACTGTATATTTGTGGGCGAACGAGGCAGCCAATTGCGCACAGCAATTGGGAGTTCTGTGATCTGAATTTTACAATTAAAATCAAACAACCAATGTGAGAACGATATGTGAACACTGATTTTAATTGTTATCATTGTCTTAATAAATAATGGAATAATTGTATTTGATATAGTGGCTTATCACATTGCTGAAACATCTCAAAGCGCTTCAAAGTGTAGTGCATTTAATAATAATAATAATAATAATCCTTGCATTTGATATAGCGCTTTTCACGTCGGGAGGACGTCCCAAAGCGCTTCACAGAACACACTGTAAAGTGAACTGACTGTATATTTGTGGGCGAACGAGGCAGCCAATTGCGCACAGTAATGTTCTGCCAATACATGCATGACCAATTTTATATGGGAGATTGTTGGCCAGGACCCTGGGAGAAACTCTCTTCTCTTTTCAAATAGTGCCATGGAATCTTTAATGTCCCCTGAACAGGCGGACAGGGCCTTGGTTCAACGTTTCACCCAAAATATGGCATCTCCAACAATGCAGCACATTCTAGGAACTGCATTGGAGTGTCAGCCTAGTCTAGACTATGAACTCAAAGTCTTGAGGTGGGATTGAGCCTGAAACTTCCTACGCAGAAGTGGGAAAGTTACCAATTGCACCAAACAATTTTATAACTGTTTAAATATAATCAAGCCATGTCATTTCTAAGCTTTTATTTCAAATGACAGTCACATGTAAACATTCACTGGAACTTTGTGTGTGTGTAGCCTTCCTATAAATCAATCTGAATTATTGTTCAGTTCAGTTTTACTCTGCAAGCTATTTTACCTCGGCCCTTAAAAAAAAACTAAAAATCAGCTTCCAAATTAAGACTGAATTGAAGAACTTCCGCAAATTCTGCTTGATCTAATGTTTAAGATAATAATCTTAAGGCTAAGGCTGCTTAAAGCCAAGACTAACAGAACAGAAGTCAAGAGACATTTCTTCACACTCTGAAGAAGTGGAATAGTCTTCCCTGGAAAGCTGTAGAGGCTGATTCAAAAGGGATGTTGAAAAGAGACGTTTGGGTAGTAGCGATTTTAAGGCTACGAAGAAAGGAATTAAAAGATCTACCAAGGTGTAATAAATTGATGGAACACCTTGATCGATTGAATGGCCTCCACCTATTTTCTTATGTTCCTGCTAGACAGCAAAAAATCAGCAAGAACATGGTTACATTTTTCCACTCCCTGACACACAGTCACTCAAATAACTCAGCACACTCAGCTTTTAATTCAGCATAGATCAGTGACTGAACGACAAATCTTCTAGATTGTTTAGTTTTAGACTGTGCAATGCTTTTCCTGACTGACACACTAAGGGAGTAATCATCATCACGTAAACATTTACACAACATCAAAACATACCAGTTTTCACATGAAATATTTTTCCATCAAACATATTTGAATGTTATGTTTTGAAAACCTGACCATAGAAAAACAATAACTTCCCTCAACCAAATAAACAAAATAATAGAGGAAGCTTGAGGGCCTGTAATAAACAGTTTTACAGTATCGACTGAAGCACCATCTACAGATCCACAAATCCAAGTTTGATTGTGGACAATTATAAACTGTTAAATGTTGCAGTCAATGGCCAGTAGCTAGAAAAGGATACCAGAAAAGGTAGTAGAGACCAAGATATCAAATTTATTGTAGAAACAGCTTGATGCTGCAATGGAAAGACAGTAGTGTTGGTATTCTTGAAGGTTGAGATCAAGTGATCCAAAGGACCTTCTTTATCTGTACATATCTTGTGAACTATGAGATTATATTTACTGATGTTTCAGTATTACTCTACCTGATCAATACCTTGATAGCCCATCAGAACAGGAGCAGACTGATTCTGTAGGCATTTCATATGACATTTCAATCTCAATAGTGTGAATGTGAAGCAAGAATATTATTATAGCTAAGAAATTAAGAACATATACCAGCATTCAAACCTGTGACCTCCCTGCTTGTACACTTCAACAACTCACTGAATTAATTCTTCAAACATACCGATCACCTGCACCTTCTGTAGTTGAATGCTTTTTCCTTGAAATTATAAAACAGTTACAGCACAAGAAAAAGACAATTCAGCCTATCATGCCTGTGCTGGTGCTAGCTGCCACCTGCCACCTCATACACACCAATGTGCCACAGTTGACAAGTTATAGAACAACTTCAGTTGCAATTATCTACAAACTCGGCTTGTGAAATGCTGTGTACTCTCATGCTTGAGGTGTGTGATCCTGAGTCCAAGGCAGATTCCTCAAGATGTCCCCAGGCATTGATATAGTGGCACGACAAGCCAGGACGAGTTAGGTAAGGACTTATGTACAGTTCCACAAGTTCAGGGCATTCTCGAAAGCTTAGTCCAAGTTGCCATTATTCACTTATAAGCATTAACAATGACTGATAACAGAGTATTTGACTGACAGAAGCTTCTGTCACCAATCCCGTTCCTGTCTTCATCAACCCGAAAATACGCCTCCAGGATAGATGCCGCATAGCAACCAGGGAAGGGAACCTTGGCTCATTGTTTTCCACCCCACTAAATGCTAAACCTGATCTTGAAGCTAAATCGACCTGTACTGATACAGTTCAAAATCAACTAACACAGCACAGACCAAGATTCGAACCTGGGACCTTCCTGGTCAGTATGCTTCAGCAACTCGCTGAATAAATTTGCCGAGCCAGTAATGAAGCTCAATGATGCTTTTAAAGACAAACGTAGCCTGAAGCAGATTCTTTGGCTGTAACAAATGTCAGAAGTGAAGCAAAAGCTTCCAGTATTGCTCAGTTTAGAACCACTTTAAATGCAATTACCACAACAATTATTCACTCACAGACATTAAAAACAAGTGTCTGAACACAACACATCAACTTGTGACAGTCGTCTGGTTTGAAGCCCCATATTCAGATTTGAAATCCTGTTTGATATATCTGTACCACGTTGTGAATGGCTTTGTGCCAAATGCAAGTTTACATTAAGTGACAATTATTGTGGACTCACCCCATTCAATGGATATGCCTTCCATCCCAGCTCTCCCAGTGCAGCTGTTGTGTCTAGCAGCACGACTGGAAATAAGGGAAAGGTCAATAATATTAGCATGTTTTAGACATTTTCGGTGCAGCAACAAATGATCAGGTATTCATTTAGTTCCCACTTCCCATAACACTCTTTCATCTTTCGGGAATACAGCACTTATGGAGCCAGCTGTAATGAATGGTGCAGCAGCCCTCTTCCAACTGCTCTGTGACTTTCAAGTCATTTTTTATTTTGACCAACAATATTTGTGTATTTTTGCCCAATTTACAAATGATACCTTCAACCAAAATGAAATGCAATAAAAATCAAAGCATAAGCTCATTATTCCTTAAGTTCACATAAGATTTCATTTTAAGCTCCAGTCCTGTTTGATGAGATAAGAGTCTTTTCTTTCCATCAACCAAGTGCAAAAATGAAACAATGTTCCACAAGACATCATTGATAACCGTCATCTCAACAGTTATGGAACCAGTAAATACTTTTTATAAAAATCACCTTAACAATTAAACAAGTTTTGACGGTGATAAATCTGAAATGAACCATGGTGTTATGCGCAATTGGCTGCTGCGTTTCACCCACAAAATATACAGTCAATTCACTTACAGTATTTCTGTGCAGCGCTTTGAAACATCTCAATATCGTTATAAGGCGCTGTATCAAATGCAAGGATTATTATTATATTATTGAATCTCTTCATAATCCTGACAATCTAATTTAAATTGCCCCTCAACCTTACCAACTCCAGGAATATATCTCCAATTAACACAGTCTAAACAGTCACTATACTTAACAAATATAAAGTGCTTTGAGTTCAAAAGCCGTGGAGGACTTTGGAGGCGAGGATGAGGATTTTGATAGAGTTTACTTATCAACTTCCTCCGCTCAGCTGGCTTCAGCCTACTTGATGTCCCCTGGAATCGGCGGTCAGGCCTTCAGCCTCTCTGCCCCCACCATTTGAAACTCCATCCCACGTTCCCTTCACCTTGCTCCTTCTCTTGCCTTGTTCATGGCCCATCTCTAGACTCTGCTCTTCGACCGCGCCTTTGGTCATCCTCCTACCCCTACGCTCCATGCCCTCCACCCCTCCAGATCCCAACCCCCAACTCAGGTCCACATCCTTGACTGTTCAATGCCTTGGGATGTCCTCCAAAGACATTGTTGTTGTGGAGATGTTTAGAAGCAAGGTGTGCTATCAAAATGTTTGTTTAACCCCAAAACCAACCTTGTGAATCAATGTTGCACTCTCCAAAGCTTGTACTGTATATTCTTTCAGTGTTGAGACACCCAGTATTGAACGTAGTGCCCTGTTGGGAGTCTCAGGAGTATTTTCCTGTATTTGTATTCCATACTTCATACAGCGAATCCCTTATCTATTCTGGTTGAGCTGGTCAGCCATGATATTTAGAAGGTATAATAAAGACCATATGCATTTTCATTTACTTCAATTGAACCAAGACATTTTAGTGACCGGCAGAGCAGGACATCATACTTGTTTAGTATGCCCGGTAAGAAATAGATAATGTTTAAAGCTACACTGTACTATAGTAACACATAATGTGTTCTCCCTACATATTGTTCCCGTTCCTCAAATTCTTACTCCAAATATTTCTGAAAACTCATGACATATGCTGGGGTGCAGTTTCACAGTTGGTGGTAGCTGTCTTGTAGTGAGTATCATGGAGAATTTGGCCATATAGGTTTTTTTTTTGCAGCTGAGCTTGATCTTATCCACACACTAGCACTTCCAACAGGGTTGCTGGATAGTGGTCAACAACAGATTGACGATTTCAGCACAGGCCAGGGATAGAACCTGGAATCTTCCTCGTCAGTTTGGCTCAATACCACAATGTGCAGTGCATTTTCCCATTAAACCACCAGGTCTGCTTTTATGAAGTTTAAGAGACAGCTTGGCTCAGATTTCTGTCCTTATGTGACTGTAGTGCATCATCCACTCTTCACACCCAGCCCAGGAACCCAGCTACCCCCTCCCAGAGACGTTGCTGGTTTCTGAGTACATACACTTCTCCTAAATGCTTTCTGCTGAATTTGCACATTACAAATACTGATCGTTAAACATGTAAACATGTTTATATCAATAAGAAAATATATTTTCTGCATGTAGTTATTCAGGATAATGATTCTTGCACGTAAAAATAAAAAGGAAAATGTATTGGGCTGCATGCAACATTGCACTAGAAACTGAAAGAGACAGCTTCTCATTTTGTGGATCTGCTTGAGCTATAGCTGCTCTGAAAATGCAGTTTGTAACATATGGATGATCTATTTCTGTCTTCAACTACATTAAATATTACAGGAAAACTGGAACATGGAAAAGTGAGTGTAGTGCTATTTTTAACCTGCAGTCACAACCCTCCAAAAAGCTATGAAAGGGTATATCTTGTTGCAACAACTAAAACATATAACAATTCAATATTCTTTCTCCAGATGGTTGCCCAAGACTGAAGCATATTTAAATATTAATTATCGATCAGTCTTACTTGACTGCATCATTAACAGCTGCAGTATTAAAATCTTCAGCACTCGGTAGACAGTAGGGGTTATTCCAATTTAGGTGACATTATACAATAAACACTCTTTGTTACTAATGATAAAAGACACTCACACATCTCAAATCCTTTGCTTTCCACATTCACTTTTCCGGAATTTCCATTCCAATTTAGCCCCTGCACCTTTAATCCCCTTCTCAGCCTGCCAATATTTGGCATACTATATCATTTAATGGTCTTTGGTTTACCCATCAGAACATATGATTGTTTATTATATCCAAAAAAATTACATTTGTTATAGTGCCTTTCATGCCAAGAAGTCATCTCAAAGTGACTTGTTGTGACAAGCTTGATATACTGTGAAGTTTAGTGACAGTGTACTTTGTAGGCAAACATTATACATATTGATCATGCATTAATCTGCATTTTGGATGCAAGAAGCTTCATGTATTCCTCTCCTCCTCTCAAAAAAACTCAGTTCTCCCTACCCAGAAATGAGCCAATAGAAGTGGCAAAATCCACCCACTGGAAAACCAGAGTGGAGATATTAGGAGAGTGCATCTCAGAGATAAGAATTCATTGCTTTAAAAGCATTGCAGCCTATGTGCCACACCAATACACCAGATATTTAGCACACTATAAAAGTTCAGTTTGATGTTCCCTCTCATGTTTACCAAACGTAGGTACCTATATTTTACCAGTTCCTATATGTGTGTTTACGTGAGACAAGATTTAATATATGTATTGAAAAAACATGCATTCCCTCATAAATTAGACAACACACTGTTGATCATAATTGGTGCCCTTTTGTATTCAAAGCAACCACTGCCAAATGGATAATCAAGCAGCTAATGGCCAAATGGGTCACCTCTACACATGTAGAAAATAACCACTTGACAGGATGCTGGCAGAATACTGAAACAAAGCTGAAATGCTTGCACGCAGATGCAAGCTTATCATTTATTCAAACCCTCAGAACATTTTTGTGTGAGGAACAAATAGCAGGTATGCCCCAGAGAAACAAGCCGGAACTGCAGATTTTGCTCTTTTTCCTTTTTCTTTTTCCTCCCCAAATGAAATAGGTGATAATTTACACAGACTTCATTGATATTTCAAGCAGTGTGTTTGATGGAACATTAGCTAGTTTTCTTTTTTTTGGCAAAATCCCATTTATAGCACAACAACAACTTGCATTTATGTGGTGCCCCTCACACAGGGTTTTGTCTTAGAGTGCATGTAGTGCTAGTCATATGAACCAAAATGACTAGTTTAACATAACAGGACACTTTCCACTAAATTCTTGCTTTGTGATAACAAACGAACGGTGAATGGCAATCCCGCCCCATCCTGTTGCCACTATTTCTGGTGATGTTATCTGATGGACAACCAGATGAAAACAAGAGTTAAGTGAAACTCTTTACAATGCACAGATGATTTTGGTTTGTGGAAATGAACAAATGAATCTTAAATTTGCTGTTCTGTAGTTTACTATTATAGTGCCATATTGCCCTCCCCACGAATGCATCAAGGATAATCTAATGAACACTTGGACAGAATTGCCTTGTGTTTTTTTTTAAATCTTGTATTACCTGCTGCATGGATAATGCTACAACTAAATCTCAACAGAATGTTTTTTCCCCCTGAACATATAATGATTCCTTGAGATGCACTGAATGAAAACAAGTAATGTTATTTGTTACTAAATAGAGAAACTGATGCAGGCATATTTTTTTTCCCAGAGATGTAGTTTGGCTCATCAAGGTGAGGGATGTCAATGCAACAAATTGAAATAATTTCTACTTTTTGTATTCTTTGTCAGCATCAATTACTCTCTGATCCGCTGCAGTGTGAATGAAATGCATCTCCCTCTATGCTATCTTAGTATTGTGCCTTTACCCCAAATTCTTGAACCATTTTGTAATCATATTGCACCAGTTAAATTACTATTATTAATAATAAAAATATTTGTATTCAATATGATGCCTTTCATCTCAGGAGGCCATCTTAAAGCATTTCAAAGGATTTACTGTAAAGCGTAAATTTTGTAGGCAAATGCGGCAGCCAATTTGCACACAGCAGAAACCCACAATAGCCATGAAGTGAATGACAGATTTTACTGTAACATATCACATGTAATGGGAAGGGATGTATTCAAACCTGGGCACAATCCACATTTTGCAGGCAAATGCAGCAGCCAATGGACATTTAAATGACATTACATGCAAATGCAATTGGAACTGAGGAACAATCGCCTCATGTCTTGATGCACATCTTGTTTAAGTACAGTCCCAGCTTCCCTCTTAGCTAGAGGTGTATTTAACCTGCAGGGCAAATATTTTTATGTAAAATCATAAAAAGTACTAGCACGGTACCTTTCTTTTTGCACGTTGCCTTCAATCACCGGCAAACAATTTTCAAAGGCTGTTTAAAAAAAACTTATCATCTAAACAGCAAACCCTTTCTATTGTGTAACCTGAGTGCTCTTGAAACCAAGAGAGAAAACACACGAATGACCCCACACA